GATATCCATCTCGCGTCCCAGTCCCATGGCTCGTTTGGTCAGCTTCAACCAGGGCTCTTGGGTTTCTGCCAGAAGACCTTTCTGAACGCTCGCGTTGTCGGAAAAACATAGCTCGTACTGGATACAAGTCAGTCAGCTACTCCAAGTGCAACATCCCATCTAAACAGCGTTCCGAAAAACTCACCAGCAGTGGCCGCAACTCGTCATGTCTATGCCCAATCCACGGCACCAGTCTGACTCCAGTAGCCTTGAGCTTTTCTTGAGCCATTTCCATTGCCCGCCGCAACGGAGGGCTGGGTCTCACAATCCTATTTTCGGTCAGCAGAGCACGACTGAATTTCCGCCCAAGATCTAGTGGTGCTTTCGTCACCATACCCATCGTCCACCATGACCCCGACAGAGAGGGTCTGTGGTGTAAGTGCCCTTTCAGGCCTCCACGGCAGTGGAACGAGGCTTGTCTCGACCTCGTACGGACTTTGATCCAGGACCGTCCTCATCATCAGTTCCAAATCATCGATATTGTTGGCCAATGGGCCGACCACACAGCGAACAGACTCCTGACCGCCCCCAGCAAGCATGATGCCCTGTGGTTGATTCCCAGCGTGAGCACACATTCCTTCGATGCAGGATGCAAATACCATTACTGCCACTGACCTTGTAAGGCAATCGACAAGACGTGGGACGAAAGCCATAGACGCCACAGAGAGCCGATGGGATCCTGATTGAACCGGCGATGTCGGTGCCCGTTCCAATGGCAGCGCATCGCAGCTTGATGGCGGCTCCCTCGCCTCCGGATGATCCACCACTGCTCATGAGGCGGTTGGATGGATTGACTGTCTTACCATAGATATTGTTGTTGGTGTCTCCGTGCTAACAATAGTCTCACACCTCTCAGCAACGCCTCTCCCTTGTCATCATGATAGAGCTGAGGGGGTGAAGGAGGTTTGTACCATTAATGTCTGGGGCTGGTTTGTTCGGAAGAGGATGACGGCACCGGCCTTCTTCATCAGAGCGACGATCAGCGCATCTTCGGCGGCGACATTCTTCACCCACGCCGTATATGAACTGTGACAAATACGACCTTCGAGCCCAATGTGTTCCTTTACATGGGAGAGGGTACAGTACATTAGTTTAGGACGGGAGGAGAAAAAGGGCCAACTTGACGACTCCCACAACGCACCTTGACAGAGATGGGCACACCGTGCAACGGACCCACAAGCTTGCCTGTGTCCTGAAAATATTTGTCGAGTTCCCTGGCTTTCTCGATGGCTTCAGTCGCTAGAAACTCGGTTGCGAAGTTGACCTGTTTGTGATGGATGAGAGCGGCCTCAGGTTAGCCTTTTCTCTCTCTTTCTCGTTCGACGCACAAGGGCGGGCGGCTTCATCGCCCTTCCTTACCAGCTGATGACCAATTACTGCCCGTTTGAGAAAGGCGACTGTCACCTCTTCGGCGGTGTACTTGCCCATCGCCATCGCCGCCGTCAGTTCGCCCGCTCCATTCTCCGTGATAGCGAGCTCTTTGGGAGAGAGAGCGCCACAGTCCGCGATGAACGTGGTCACATTCGACTTCTCCTCGGGCGAGGGTATTCTATCGTCAGCGAGAGCGTATCCGGCCGGGATAGATTTTGCGAGAATCTCTCTGCACTTTTGCGCCTCGGTTTCCCACGCTGCGGCCACCATCCTTGCTCTCTGCTTTCGTGCCGACGACAACGAGGTGTGCTTTCGTTGGTAACAGAGAGGCTTTGACCCTTTGAAATTCCTACATTTTTCAAGCAACTTACTGCAACACTTGATGCTCATCAAGAAAAATGAACGAATCACATAAAGAGGAAGTTGTTTATCCGGTTGCTATACCAAACCGCGCCACGATCTATTCGTTAGACCCCACCCACTTTTGCTTCGACCCGTATCAACCTTATCCCCTTATCCCCTTGTCTACTAGTTACCGGATCCCACTGGTGAATGTGCATGATGGTAGACACACAACGCGGATTTACATGTTTTCCGAAGTGCGAGGATGGTTGATACACGATGGCCCGCCTTACCCGCCTTGCCCGCCCTACCCGCCTTGCCCGCCCTAGACATGTGTATGCCACGGGAACCATGGCGAGTTTTCGCTCTCTGATAGAGATAGAGATAACCTTGAGTAATCAATCGTATTCTGTACTTGGTAAATCAAGCCGTCAAGCGGCGGAAACTCGTGGATACTGTGTGCTGGATGCTGTGCCGGAGTCTGATTTCATGGTGGGACCAACAACACTCCACAAGTCGGGAGGCTCTTGTAAAGAGCGTGTCAAGGCAAACGTCTTACTCGTATTCCGCCAAAAAAAGAAAAAACCCCAAAGCTGCATTACATATGCCCCCTTCCCCCTAAGTATCCACCTGCCCCGTTCTCCATCACCCTGCCTCGAGAGGGTTGCGACGGACTCTACAAGCCACCGTCTGCTCCCGTTCCGGCTCAGTGAAGAGCCCTATGGTCCTTATCCTGCTCAATGTAATATTGGTACTTGTCCTGACTTGCCTTGCGGAGACGGGGTCCGAACTTGATCATCGGCAGAGTCGTGAGAGCCTGCAGGGAGAACAGGACGGCGGCCAGGATGTACGCGTTTCGGTACCCCATGTCGCTGAGCCAGGGGCTCGTTCCGTAGCTGAAGGCAAAGTTGGTCGTGTTGCGGATCAGCATGACGGTGACGATGGCCTCGGAGCCAATCTCCTTGTACGAGTCGATGCAGTACGTGATGGCGAGGCTGGCGCCGACCGAGATGCTGAAGCCGAGGAGGAAGGTGGCAAAGACCAGTCCGAACCAGTGCACCTCGTACGCGGCGCCCAGGCCCCAGAGCAGACAGCAGCCGGGACTGGTGACGACGCAGATGAGCAGTAGCCACAACCGGTCTTCAGCCAGCCAGATGCCGGATCGACGGCGCACGATGCGCAGCACGGCCCAAGACTCGAAGGGTCCGCAGTACAACATGGCGACGAGACCAGCCACGAGCGGTGCCAGGTATGTGATCCCGATAGAACCCCTGTGATTATGTTCCCCGTCAGCTTTTGCTCGATTCCTTTGTTGCAGGCACGATTTTCCATGGAGCGAAATGAACAGAGATGACTGGAGGAAGCAGGACTTACGCTGAAAAGTTATATGGTTCTCCGCTGAACACCAGCGAAACAGTGGCCTGGAAGAAGGTATACAGACATAAAAAGGAGCCATACGTGAAGCCGGACCAGCAGACGATGGGGAAACGGAACAGCTTCAGGGGGCGAAGGACCATCAACTGCCACGAGACCTTCTCGGGCTTCCGGAACAGCTTGAGTCGACTCCAGAAGGGCTTGGGCGCTCGAGATTCGCCCGACGAAGTACTTGCCGCTGTGGTCGAGATCTGGACGCCCACCTCTTTGCTCGCGGCCTCGGGATCCTCAGCCAGACCCGTGCTGATTGTCGGCGCCACACTCTCCTGCGGCGCAGGACGTACGTAGTTGGACTCTTCTAGGAAAAAGAAGCAGAACACAATCGAAAGTCCCATGAAGATGACACACCAATACTGGACAGCAAGACGGTTCATTAGTCGACCCGATCCCACCGTTTCAACTTCGTCGTGCATCCAAGTAACTTACCGGGACCCATTCCCATCCCTGTCCGTCAAAGATGAAGCCGGCCAAGAAGGACGCGACTTTGGATCCGATAAAGACCATGGAGGCGTAAATGCCCATGTGTTTTGCCCGCTCGTGCACAAAGAAGACGTCGGCAATCGAAATCTCAATCAAGGTTTCCACTGGAGCTCCCACGAAGCCCTCGAGGATTTTGCTGGCGATCCATTCCGGCCCAGAACTGATGTGTGGGAGCCAGAGCATAATACCCTATCGGAGCAGTGAGTTTCCCTGACACGACTAAGTAGGCGTGGGACGACACTTACAAGCGTGGTAATGAGACTGAGTAGGTACATAGGTCGCTTGCCATACTTCTGTGCCATGGGAATCCTAGAGTTGTCCGATTAGTTTCCACAAGCACCTCTGTGGGTTCAAGGCATACTGACCAGATCAGATTTCCCCAGCCCATGAGGAGGAAGAGGTAGCCCTGCGCCGAGACAATTGCTGGGGAAAGGGTGGTTTGTTAGTCTCGCCCTCGGGCTATGGACCATCGCAGGGTAGATCTTACAAGACACGGGGATGCCCCTGCTTTTGCTGATGGGACCGATGATGGAGTAGTGAACACCCGACGCGTACGAAATCATAAAGGTGTACATGTTCACACAGATGACTTGGGCCAGTTTCCTCCATCTCGACCAGTTGAGAGGGTCGTCAGGGTCGTCGGTCGGTGCAGGGTGCAAGACCACATCAGACTTGTTGCCTTTGGCATGTCTCACGTCGAGGCGGTGGTCGATGTCCACCAGCACCAACGTCCCCGGAACGGTATCGTCGAACTGCGAATCAGTGAAGAAGCCCATGGTCGCGGTGAACTAGGCGTTATGCGCCCGAGGCAAGTCCACAGAGAAGATGATACTGAAGCATTGTCGAGGACCTTGGATCTCGTGGAGGGGGCGGGGACAAGATGTAGTTCAGAGAACATTTCGCATAATACAACCAAGACCTCACGACCAGAAAAGTGCAGATAAGGATGGGATCCACAAAACGGCACATTGAATCCATTGCGGGAAGAGGAAAGGGACGAACCAGGAAGATGAGATCCGAGTCTCCATTGAGTTTGTGGCCGAGTGGGTCGTAGCCTCATGGCGATGGTTTGATATCGGATTTCACATTTCCCTTGATACACCGTATACAATCTCGTGGCCCGGATCATTGATACGGCCCGGAAGATGATTGCTGATCAAGATCCTGAAAACCTCGCCAGAAAAGTACCATGTGGTGGGCAGGAGAGGTCGAGTCCGAGAAGATACAAAGGACTCTTATCAAGACTGGACATCGGATTTGATGATATGAGCCGTGTGTGTGTGTGTGCGTTCGATATCGTTGTCGCCTGCACCTGACTTACTGCCCGCCTCAACATGATGCCATTCGTGATTGTGGCCTTTTTGATCGTGCTATATGCACTTTACAGGGTAAAACGAGCAATTATCTAACCCTTGGCGCGTTGTCCTAATGGTTCTAACCATTTGCAGTACTCGATATGGACCACGATTCCTCGTATTGAAGGCATCCCAGAGATCCCCGGTGCGCTTCCTTTTATTGGTCACCTGCACTATTTTGGAGCCAGCTCGGGCAAGGCCGACGCGACTGTATGGACGGAATGGAGTCAGAAGTACGGATATGATCTGTATCAGGCCAAGTTTGGTCAGACGCGGTTCCTCGTGGTAAACTCGATCCGAACTGTCAAGGACCTGTGGTTGGGTGAGAACCTGTCCATCATCGAAAAGCGAGAACCATTCACTTTTAAAAAATATATTGGTGAGCGAACCGAGAAGTACCTGCCACCGCTCTCTCTTACTTAAGCCCCTAACATCAAGATCAGGTCTGGACTTTGCGTCCATGGCTTGGACAGACGCGTGCAAGCGCCAGAGGAATGCAGCAGTCAAGGCAATGTCCAAGAGCAACTGGATCAAGTTTATTCCCGCCGTGGAAAGGGCGAGCGAAGAGATGATTCTCGCCATCCTCCACGATGGCGAGCGAGGACAGAAACCCCTCAATCCGTTGCCTTACATGGCCGGAGTCGCCAACAATCTCAGCTGGCTAATTGCATACGGTAAAAGTGTGGCCGACATGGGCGGAAGTTCATTCTTTCGAGGTTTCTTCGACGCATCACAGCAAGTCACATCGTGAGTGACACCTTTGTCCGCAACCCAAGAAGAAAGCTAAATATCACATTCAATAGAATCCGGTGGTCGACTCACCAGTGGACGGACTGGGTCCCGCTTCGTCGTCTTTTCCCCAGTGTCCATATCACTCGAGCCATCCAGGCAAAGGAGAAGCGAAAATACTATCTTGACAAATTATACGATGCCATGGTCCAGGATATTGAACAGGGCCAAGACGTCCACTGTATTGGAGCAGATGTCACCTTGGATGAGAAGTCCCAATTGACCAAAGGTACGACCATTTTGCTTCCGCCTGCCCTTTCGCATCCTCGCGTCGGGGTTTCTCCAGCCCTGCTACTGGCTGACACATGGCTCTCTTTCTCACACACAGAGGACGTTCAAAGTGTTTGCGAAGGCATGATGCAAGGCGGCAGCGAGACCATCGGAGCCACTCTTTCGTGTGGACTTGGTGCTCTTGCAACGGCCGAGGGACAGAAGATCCAGAAAGAGGCATACGATGCCATCCTTGCCGAGTATGGCTCAGCCAAGGCGGCGTGGGATGCGGCATTTCGCGAAGAAAAGGTCGAATACGTGGTTGCCCTGTACAAAGAGATGATGCGCCAATATGTCGTGGTGCCACAAGGAGCCGGTAGAATGACAGCCAAAGATCTACCCTTCCGTGGTACCGTGCTGCCCAAGGGTATCCTCATCTTTATGAACCTCGAAGGGGCGAATCATGGTAAGCCCTATTATTTCACAGCGTCGGTTCTCTCGCCGCTCTTTCACAGCTTCGGCCACTAACTCATGTCCGTGTTCAGATAAAGAATGGTACGGCGAAGATGCAGGGGAGTTCAACCCTAAGCGTTGGCTGACACGGGAGAATTTGATCAATGACAAGGGCAACACTCCTCATCTCGGCTATGGAGCAGGGGCAAGGTAAGCCTTTGATCCATCCGTTCCAACGTCGACATTCGGCTAATCAGTTTGTTGTAGAATGTGTCCTGCGTGGGCCATCTCGAATCGAATTTTATATGGTCTGTTGGTGCGAATCATCATCAATTTTCAGATCACCCACACGCCAACAGCACCACCAAATACTCATCCGACCCAATTCAACGTAACACCTAGATCCTCGGTCGCTCGGCCGGGTCCTTGGGGGGCGATCTTTACCTCCAGGTCGAAAGGGTCGAGCCTCGCCACGCACGAGACCAATGACATGCTCGAAATGGTAGAATAAATCGCATAAAGGAAGTGGCGGAGAAGGTTGTACCGATGTCGAGCAAAGCGCATTCAAGACAGCATACCTTGCTCAATACTTCCGTCAGACGATGGTGATCAAGGCAACGTGGTTTGACGTCCAAATAATTCTAGCCAAGTGGATCTACCAAAGTAAGAAAATCTAGGTCAGACTTGTCTATTTATTCCGAATTGAGTACAGACGGAATCTTATATTATCTAGGGCACTGTGCAACCTCGTACCATTTAGCCTGTCAGATTGAATAGGCTGTTTTAGCTTTGCTTAGGTAGCGTAGGTATTGCGCAATTGCCTTGATTGGGTGTGGTTGACAGACGATTGGCCTGATCGACAGCACACGATGAAGTAAACCCGTGAGCTATGATGTTGCCTCAATTGACCCGATCAAGGTATCATCAATGCGTCGCGTCAGCGAAACCGCAGTTGGAAGATCGTCGCAGGCATGCCAGGGTACAAGGTTGCATTCGCACGTTGCCTGTCGACTCACACAGGTCTGCTACATCACGCCGGTGGTGGGCTGCTTGGAAGGCCATTTGCTGCAGGTACTCGAGGACTAGAACGGGTGTGCTCTGTTCATGCCCAGCCCCCACCCGCGCGCTATGTGAGTGAGCCAGGTATAACCAGGTGTTGTGTGGTTAGCGTACTCGAAAATTGCTCCAAGAAACCAGGTCTGCGTGTGCGGAGAAGGCCAAAAGATAAGGTCCCTGGCACCGATGTCTTTTCACGGCCCCGGGGCGAGGTTGAAAGATGGTTGTTCACGGTTGTCGCGGAACTTGAGTCCCGGTGGATCGCCCAAGCGCCGCCAGGCCTGCGAGGCCTATGCACCCGTATTTCCGCGCTTCTGCTTCGCGCCGATTTGGCTGGGCATGGCTGACCTCGACCACTGATCTTTGTTGCCGCCCAGCCGTGGCTTGCAGGCTCCTCACCTGAAAAATGCAGCTTAGGCTTTGCGAGGTGCATGTGCGAAGGTGCTTCCGGTCCTCCACTTCAGCCGCTATTGAAGAGGCTTCTGCTGCGGCGTCGGTGAAATGTGTCAAAGCTCAGCTGCTCCGTAATGTCGTAATCCCCAAGTGGATGGAGTCTTATACTCTATTAACACCGGAGTCCTGACTCTTGATCACGATAATCGGCGAACGCGGCAGTAAGAGTGGAGCTGGAAAGCTGGTCACAGCGCCACTAGAACAAACATCTTATCGTACGTACTAGGAGTAAGTCAGCAAACCCTGGTTCACTGAGTATGAATTCCTTCCGGATGGTCACCAGGGTATGACACTCTGCAAACGTGAAGGAGAAGGGCGGAATGCTGAAAGAACTTGTTTGCTCCAAGTGTGCTATTTGGCAATGCCACACCACAAAAATAACGATGCAAGCGTCAAGTAAATTGTATCTCCTCCTTGCTACCGAGCCCCACGATAGTTCGTTTCGTGGGATTACGAGGGAAGATTGTCCGGGGTCTCAGATTGGTAACTTCTCCTTCCGTCTTTTGACAGAGGTATGAAATCCGGGCTTTGGGCCATGATCGTTTGACCCACAAGACGAGGAGAAGCTAAAGCAACTCCGCATGGGCTGCATTCAGTGACATTCGAGACCAGCTTCAAAAGACCTTGTCCTTGTAGCTGTTGTGTTGTGTTTGAGGGCGTGACACGGCAAGCTTCTTTTCTATGATCCTCCACTGGCACGTTGATGGGGCTGCCTGGGCACGCTACAGAGAGTTCGTGTCGGTGGAGGAACAAAGGACCCCGTAGCTCGTTAGCTTTGCATACATGCGGTACAGTACTTTTCCGTGGGGAACACGTAGGTAGGAACCGAAAAGGAGAGGAGGAGAATCCCCAGTTCTGGATGTTGGGCGCAGGCAAATCCTAAGCTGCTGGCATGGCGGGATCTGGGATCTGGGCCTCTTTTTTTGTGCACCAGTGTGGTTGAGGCAGCGTTCTGTCGGACGGGAACACCACCAGTAGAATTGTGGAAGGCAAAGAAGGGACCCTGGTAAGTACGAACGAGACAAGACGAGCTCAGAGGAGGTTGACAGGGAAGACAGAGCACGCAGAAGCCACCAGTGCAAGTCGCTGGGGACCAAAAAGTCAAGGTCGATCACTAGCGCCAAGGCCGACGGGCCACTCAGACGTCGTGTCTTCGCCTTTTCCCTCCCATCACACCTGCGCCCATCGCAGCCATCCGCATCCAATTCGACCTACTTTTCCCCTTCAACAGCTGCATCCATCTTGCTCCTCCTGCGTCGTAGCTTGCATTAACTACGTCCGAGCCTTTCCCATAACTGACCCTCCTTTACCCTCCCCGTCGCCCGTGGGCGCTCACCAAGCCGCACCTGTCCCTCTGCCATCAGGCCCCAGAACGCTGCCTTGCCGGCTTACTCGATCGACTGCCACTCTGCTACTTGGTTGTCCCCATTGGGCACTGCGATTCCGAACGGACCCTGTCTTGACGCCTCTGACACAAGCCCATTGGGTCCATTGTGTACGTGTTCTGGTTGGTCCAATACCCCTGCCTCTCAATGGGGAACGAGAAGGAGGAGGGAGGGAAGCACTTTGAGTGCTACCCGTAGTCGTCCTGGTCGGTGGTTGCCACCATTGAATCGAGAGAGTCCTTGAGCAATACACAATGTGATGGGAGAGGAAGCGCATGAGAGAAACAAAGTATGGTGGATAAAAGTGCTGACTGAATCGGTGGTGTGGCCGTAGGGTTCCCATTACAGCATCACGTCGCAAAACAAGGCAACAATCCAACAGGACTACCCCTTCTCCTCGCCCAAATCGTCGCCCAATTGCAATCACCTCCTGATCACAGCGTTAAGCACGGCAACAAGTCGCAGACTCCACTCTCTCGTTGTCCTCGTTTGCCCCGCCCGCCCCGACTGGCCATCGCTGCCTTGATCCAAGTTTGTTCTGTCAAGAGAAAATTTTATCCGGCCAGACGAGCAACCTCGAACTCGTACCGCAGGAGATTCGGTCTAAAGGCGCGCCGCTTGAGGCTCTGTCAGATTTGCTGTGCATTGTGTTGCGCCGTGTCAAAGGAAATCCTGTCTCTTGTCCCCCCCTCCTCCTCTCTCCGACCATTCTGAGGCCCTGAGAAAGCCGCTCCACCCAGGACGAATCGAGCTCTCTGCGTTTTGCGTACAGCTCCAGACAGCCCTTGTACTACTCGGGAAACCTTGTTAGCTGCGCTCTCTCCTACCCCCTCCCTTCCTGCATTTTCGTGCATGCGATCCTGATCTCGTAGAAGTCAACAGTCAAAACTCGCCGTACGAGCTCTCGGCAATCGATTATCATGGGTCTGTCCCCTCCCTCCCTCTCTCTTTTCCTTCTCGTTTTCGGTGGCCCAAGCTAGCCATTCCGGCACTGGTCTCTCCGATCATCACCCTGTCCTCCCGTCCATGTGCTTGTCCTATCGACATTGCACCAACTCTGTCCCTGCCCAACCTCATCTTCACCGTCTCTTTTCTCTTTCTTCCTCTCCCCATCCCCGAGTGTCTGTTGGCTAACGTGGTGAGTTTTAGTAAGTGAACCGATTTTCTTGTCCCCGCGCACAAGTCGAGGTTGCGACGAGCAGGATTGGAGGTGAAGTTGATTCCGGCTTCACCACGACCATTCCCAATCAGCCTGGGTCCACTTCTGCCTTATGAACTTTGTGGCAGACACACGAATCAAACGGAACAGATTCACTGTCACTTCTGTTTGAGACAACAATAGCGTGACTTGACCTTCACTTGCACGTGTCACTCGGCCTAGGACTCACCTGCACGATTCTTTAAATTCGACCTCTCTCCGCTCCTATACTATGATCACTATTGCTCCCCAATATTCTGACCGTTTTCAGAGGGACCGATCAGATCGTTCTCGTTCTCCCCGTCGCCGATCGCGCAGTCCACGGCGCACACGCCGTTCCTACTCCCCTCGAAGCCGCTCTCGCAGTCGAGGCGACGACTACCGCCGAAGTGAGCGCCGTTCAAGAAGTCCCATGAGCGGTGCACCCAACCCAGCCGGAGGATACTCAGGAGGGTCAGGCTACGCCGGTGGAGGTCGACAACCCTCTAGGACGTTCGAAGACCGAGCGGCGGCAAAAGAACAAATGATGCAATCAGTACGCGAGTCTTCTCAACAAGACCGTCGTGTCTATGTGGGCAATTTGGCTTACGACGTCAAATGGCACCATCTCAAAGATTTCATGAGACAAGGTGAGTTCCAGAGTCTTTTGTGAGATTCACAGCTTTTTACTGACGGCCGAAATTAGCTGGAGAAGTTCTCTTTGCTGATGTCTTAACTCTTCCGAATGGAATGTCGAAGGTGGGCGCCATTGTGTGATGCGGCTGGTTCTACTGGTCTTCCTTTTTGGTTATTTTTGTTGGACGTTGGATTGACGGGTTGGACCTGGTCCACGGGTTAATGTAGGGATGCGGGTAAGTGCTTGCTTCTTTTGCCCTTTTTGTATGCTCTGGACCTCTTTTCTGACTGAATTTAGGATTGTGGAATACGCAAATAGGGAACAAGCCCAACAGGCTATCCAAACACTCAGCAACCAAAGCCTCATGGGCCGTCTCGTTTACGTTCGAGAGGTGCGCAACCATTCCATCGACGCGAAAAAAGGCTCGCATCTCCCAATCTTGCTGACTGCGTTCATTTTTCGAATAGGATCGCGAAACCGAGCCCCGTTTCACCGGCCCTTCCGCTCGCGGCGGCTTTGAAGGCGGGCGAGGTGGCTTCGGATATGGCGGTGGTCCTTATGGTGGTGGTATGGCCGCTGGTGGTGGCGGAGGTGGTGGCGGCGGCGGCGGCGGCCGACAGCTCTACATCTCCAATGTCTGTTTACTCTTTTCCTTTTGGTGTCTGCTCTTGGAACGATCTATTGACATGGACTCCCTAGCTCCCATTCAACGTTGGTTGGCAAGATCTGAAAGATCTCTTTCGCCAGGCTGGTAAGTGGCGCCTGTTCGTCGACAAATTGACATTATATCTTACATATTGCAGCTCAGGAAGGAACGGTCATTCGGGCCGATGTGCACCTGGACCCAAGTGGTCGTCCTAAGGGGACCGGAATCGTCGCCTTCGAATCGCCTAACGACGCTCGTAACGCAATTCAACAATTCAACGGTTATGACTGGCATGGTCGCGCCCTCGAGGTCCGGGAGGATCGCTACGCGGGTAGTGGTGGACCTGGCATGGGATATGGCGGACGAGGAGGGTTCGGTGGCGGATTCCCCATGCGTGGTGGCTACGGCGGTGGCAGAGGAGGGTTCGGTGGCCGTGGAGGCTATGGTGGTGGCGGCTATTCCCGAGGAGGGTATGGAGGTGGGTATGGAGGAGGAGGAGGCGGTGGCAGCGGCGGCGGCAGTGGTGGTTATGGTGGTGGTGGCGCGGCTCAAGAACCAGCAGCACCCAACCCATTCACCGACTTTGCGACCTCTGGCGGCGAGAGAAGCCAGACGATCTACGTGCGAAACGTGAGTTGCTTCCTGATTCCAGCTGGAGAAAATTGACAAGCTCACCGCGGCGCAGCTTCCTTGGTCTACGAGCAACGAAGATTTGGTCGAATTGTTCACCACTATTGGCAAAGTTGAACGTGCAGAGATCCAATATGAACCGAGTGGACGATCTCGAGGAACTGGTGTGGTCGAGTTCGACAGTGCCGACAACGCTGAGACGGCCATCTGTGTGTTCACTCCCTCTCTCATCCATGATATGCGCTAAAGTTGGCAGCGAAATTCACCGGCTACATGTACGGTGGTCGACCTCTTGGACTGAGCTACGTCAAATACACCAATACCAACGGCAGCGAAGCGATGGAGGGTCAAGAGGCGACGGGCGGCATGACTCAAGATCAAATGATGTGACGGGCAGGCTCATGACGACGTGCTTCGAAACTTCTTCGATGGATAAGTGTCTGTCTATTCGACATGCGAATTCGACGTCGCCCCGGAGGTCATATCCCTCGATCGCCCAGGCCATTCTCCAGACTGTACTTTTACAAGATATTGCTTCGACAACTCAACACACGAGACACCACCACGGCTACCTCGAGGCTTTTCCGCAAAGTCCTCGACGCCGGCCATTTTCCTTTTCTGACTTATCAAAAAAAGTTGTGATTTTCATTTTGCAGTTCAGGGTCATCATCTAGGAGACCAGGGAAGAGATTGAATGGGAAGCTGAGGCTTGACTGTGGCCATGCGGAACATGGAGAGACTTTCAGATTGGGACTATTACTCTCTTCTTCACAGAAAGACGTGGCAGATGGAGCGGGCTAGATAGGTGAATACTCATGAGAGGACTGGGACTGGAACACGAGAACCCTGGGCAGGAAAGATTTGAGTCACAAAACAACACAAACAATGCAATGCGTACGGATAGCTGGGACAACAGGCAGTGTGTATCTGGTGTGGATTGTAGAGATCCGTTGATGGTATGGTGGCGATGGTTATTCTTCTCTCCGGGCCACATCGCGGTAGGATATCGATCACCATGACCGACAGGCACAGACGACCCCGATTGCAAATGGACCCTCACGCCCCAGTACGACTCGGTCAATCACGGCGCCATGGCTCTACTCTATCCCGGCAGCGAACGATGACTGTACAGGACTTTGATACTTGTGAGCATGTGTCAGGCGGACGGACCCCGTGGACAGCTTCCCTTTCCCCCTGTCGCGTCGCCTAGAATTGCACATGAAGGAGGCGGTCTGTCCCAACCCTTTGTCGCCACAGCCTGACGCCCGATTTCTATGGTCGATTGGAGCAAAAGGTTGCGTTTCCTTGGGAGAAGGTAAGCTTCCCTATTGATGGACCAAGGTTGGTTATGGGGGTATGTGGCATTGCTATGCTTCCAATCCGCACTTTGGAACCAGGTGGGAATAGATGGCCAGGTGAGTTGGTCTCGTCCACTTTGTTTTTTGTTTTGTTTTTTTACTTTTTGTTTTTCACACGCTATTTCAGATGGATGCTGGCCATCACCCCAAGAGTAGCCACTGGCGGGTCTTGATCACATCTATTCATTGCTCAATGAGCCAGAAATCGACCGCTAGTGTTCCATCTCCCCTCGGGCTTTTGTTCCCTTGCAAGAAGATGTATTCTCAACTTCTGGATCCCGGGGAAAGCATAGCAAAGTATAACAACGAAGTCTAGACCTTGCATTTTCGACGCCATTGGATAGGGGGTGTATTGGCGTCCTGCACTCTATGGCTTCCATCCATCCATTCCTTGGTCGGCATGAGCCTCAAGGAGGGACCCCCCCAGAGACGAGGAGGAGGAGAGGTGTGTGTGGGTATCTTCTACCTACTCAATCGTACTTGTCCCGGCCCTTTTCCCAGAACGTGAAAACACGCCCTCGAACGCCCCCCAAGATGCACCCTTGTCTTCAGTTACCGGAGGCACCAGAGAGGGGGAGTCAGTTTAGTCATGGCGCAAAGCAACCAACCTGGGCTTGCCTGCCTGGTATTGCCTGGCCTGGCCACATCTACCGGCTAAAAGAGAAGGAGATGGTGGGCAGGCCGGCCAGCCAACCACTAGCCAAGAAGGACATGGGATGTGATTTTCGATCGTGATCTACGAGGGGGAGGGGAAGGTTGTGATCGAGCGTTGTCTGAGTGGAAGTGATTGGAATCGTGGATCGTGATTTTGACTCGCGGACACCCCCCCCCCTCCCCCTCGGGGGGCACGAGTCCCATGGTAAGAAGAAGAAGCAAACATTTGAACAGAGTAGAATCGGCGAGCGACCATCTACCCACCCAAGTGGCGGATTTTGAGTTCCTAGTCGGCCACAGTCCCCAGTCCCCGTCGTGATTGTAATTCAGAGTTTACTTGGCAGTCAGTCACAGACTTGTGTGCTTGTGTGCTTGTATATCACATCCATCCCTACGAAAGGTTGATAGGTCGATTTGTTGAGGTTGAGGTTGAGGTTGCGACTTAACTCGTACAAGGTAAGTGTTTTGATATTAGGTCAAAGTTAGCACAAAGTCAAGTTTTTCTTTCCAGAGTTTCTTTTTAATTTTTTCTTGTCGCTTTTCCTTTTACCTAGGTAGGCTGGTAGGTTACCTAGGGTATTCAGGTGCTGTTCGTGTTAGTTCTTCGTGCCTGTGCCTGTGCCTGTGTTTGTGTTTGTGTTTGGTCCTTGAGAACATCTGGTCGCGATCTACAAAAGAGTACCTGCTGTGTGTACCCATCTGCCCATCTACCCCGTGCCTGGATATCCATCTTTCTCGACCCGAGCCCGTGTGCAATGTCCGATGTCCGTTGTCCGGTGCCTGATGGATACTATGCTTTGTGATCGGGAGCGGAAGGGGAAGTGGAAAGGGAAAGGGAGAAGGGGATTCTTGAAAAAGGTAAAAAATGTACTTTGGACTTGGACTTGGGACTCGCTCTGAGTTGAGTCGCTGCTCAGTCGCTCTCAGTCACTCGTGGGCCTGCCCCATCCATCCAGCAATACGACCCGATTCGATGCCACACGATACGAGACGATATGGTTTGTTCCACTATGGGTGGACTCACCCGGCCCGGGTCAGAATGTTTGCTACAGTCCCCGCCAGAGGGTCACGAGTGCTTGATCAGTATGAAAAGAAACTAAAGCTTATGGGAACTAAGAGGAGATGGGTGGGTTAATGGGTGTTGTGGATGTCAATATCGACGGTCACAGTTGGCTAATATCAGGAGCGTAGAGCGAGGGACCTGTGTGTAATCAGGAAAAAGGGTACGAGTAGCCGCCAGGTATGCCACCCAAGCCTGCGTCTCCTGGAAAGGATGGCATACCTCGCTCAACCGCAACCGCTTCTTCCCGACTTGGACGGATCTGGCAGAAGGAATTTGCTTGGGAAATCTTCTTGTCTCGACCCTGACGATTATACAAGTAAGTAAGTGCATTGCTCAGGTGTCAAGGCATGAACAATCGAGAACACTTAAGGGGAGGGCAAAGGATTCGAGCTGGATAGCTGGATGGGTTAGGACAAACACAAATTGGGGGTGGTTCATGAGCTGGCCGAATCCTCAATCGACTCGTACATCCAGCCAGCCACCGAGCAGACCGAACAGGGGCCACCAGGGCACCAGGGTGTCCTGTCGTAGTATTGTATAGGCTGGGCACTTGGGCACCCAATCCGTGACGCAGGTGGCAAGAGCGGGCACGACGAGTACCGAGTACTGGTAGCCAAGGCGTCTGACCTGTACCCTGACGCCGCTGCAGCCTGCGAGTCACTGCATGCGACTCGACTCAACTGAGATGGGGTGTTTGCGACGACGGGGGAAACCCATGGGCTTCCTTTTCAAGGACGGTTCAAACATTCAGTTTGAGGGAATGCCATCGCCGACAGAAAGCTCCTGCAGTACGAAACATTTCAGCCATCCTGAACGCATGAATAGGACCACTTTGAGAAGGTCATTCGGCCCCAGTAGCCTCCTCCATCTCGGCAGTACCCAGGGTGGAGGAAGGTCAATATACGAGTAATACTCGTAAGTCGTGTCGGGGGTGGGCGTGGGTCGCAGTCACGCTACGGAGTCGCCCATGCATGCACCATGCGCATCGCCGATCAAGGGAGGGAGGCATTCGAACTCGTAGCTGTCTGTAGTCGGTCGAATTGTGGACTTGGGACTTGGGACTCGGGGGGAGGCTTCAACCTTGACCAGTCTTGCGACTGTGATTGTGCACCCTGGCACTTGGAAGACTGGGTCATCTCATCTGTGTGTGTGGGCCACTGGGAAGACCAAATTGTCTTGACACTGCATGTTCTTGCTTTAGTGCTTCTTTCAGGTGGGTGGCTCCTTTGATACATGTACGAGGACCTGGACTTGTCGTTCCATCCTCACATGGGGCCCTCAACATTTCCATTGCCATGTTTGTAGGAGCTCTCTCTCTTCTTTTCTTAGCGGAAAGCCACAAAGCCACAAGCCCGGAACTTCAAGGCCGAGCACTATCCGTTCCTGTCAGTTGTAACGGCTGCTTTTGTACCGAGTACAATGAGATGCTTCACCGCCTTTTCCCTCTACGTACCCAGTACCATGAGATGCAACACGTCAAAGAACAGGAATATGGCGCATTGTCATTCGTTCTGAGAGCCTCCTAGTCCTACTCTTTTGTGGGATTCGGAGGAGAGAAGTATAGATTTGTATGTGTGCGTGGGTGTCGGAGAGACTTGGGGGAAGAGGCTTGGGGTGGTGGTGGGTGTTGGTGTACCATCAAGCGTTGACGATGACTTGTAGGTCAGGCCCATATGCTGACGGGGGAGAAAGCGGATGCGAATCTGGCACATTGTTGAGAATTCATGGACAGGGACAAGGAAAGGAGAGATCAAGGAACAAGCAGCAAGGCTTTGATGGGATGCTAAGAGGCAAAGAGGCTCTTTGGAAGATTCTAGCCCCCACGACATCAAGCTACATACTAATTAGAGCCACTTGTAGCTCTCTTTTATTAGGCCACGGCATTTGCTACCCGCACTGTGCCACCTACCACATATTATTACTCAGTCAGACACTCTCATTGACCAACCGACACGCTCTTAGACACGTCAGGTCGATGCCACCTATCAGCCTTACATCGCCTCCCGACAATGGCCTATCATGGCTAGCCTGACGCATGGAAAAGTCAAAGGCAACTGAGCGACTCTGTTGAGATCCGAGGATATGCTTCATGCTGATGGGATCTGCCTTAGCCTCATAAGCTCAAGCTAGATTGGTGCCAATTCTCCCCCCCTTTTTCAAGCGAGCCTCACAGCCTTGGTAGACGTGCCTCTCACAAGTTCCTTGCTGATCCAACAGTCGAGCAGCCATCGAATTCGTGATTCTGTAAAGATCTCCCCCCTCTGTCCTTTCTTTGCGATTCATTGTTTACAGGAGATAGCCTCTAAGCGGCTGATCTCCCGTTAGGTGAGATTTTTCTATATTATGGGGGTCGTCATTGTTGTCGGTTGACCATCGCCACAGAGTCCGTCGGGTTTCATCCCTTTCGTATTGACGGCTCAAGGCTCAAGCACCGACTTACACGAATACGGCCGCCTGACATGTATCCCGAAGATACGTTACTCGGGAGCAGCCGTTTTTGAACCAAAGGTATCGTCTGCGACAGAGCCACACAAATACCGCAGTCGAGTTTCGGTCAAAGGCGTCCCGAGTCCCATACTTCACCGACCGATACTGTCCTGTTACCCCTCTCTTGGATTACAGCATGGACCATCGGTGATGAACTTGGGGTCCTGCAATGACTGACATAGATGCTGTCAAGATATTCATTTCTTCGACCAAATCTGCCGTCAACTAGTCCGAAGGTGGATATGACCGACAATATAAGCATCATTGGGAATACGAATGTCAGTTAGTGCGTGCCCACTTACTGAATATCAGTTGGCAAACTCAATGCCCTAGCGGCCTTAGCCCATTGTACCATTCTACCTACACTGCTTCAGGAACTGGTTCATCTTAAACAACAGGGACGGGGACTCGGTCCCTACTTCATGTCTGTGGCAGAAATTCTTCCTAGAAAAGGAACTCCCTTCTCAGAGCTTCGAGGGTCTTTCACGTTCCTCGTCTCGACCTGTTTTCCCTGGTTTCATCTGTCACCATGGTCAAATTGGACACGGCCCGCGCCTTGGGCAAAGCCCTGGTCCAGAGTCAGCCTTTAGTGGCCGTTTTCTTCGGTGGTACAGGAGGCATCGGACAAGTGACGCTGCGTGCACTGGCTACCGCCGAAGCTCAGGGCGGTAAAGGACTCCGGGCATACGTGGTGGGGAGAAACGCCCAAGCGGCCGAAGACATGCTCGCCGAGTGTCGTGGAATCTGCCCACAGGGCCAATTCAAGTTCATCCAGGCCCAAGACCTTTCTCTGCTTGGCGACGTCGACAAGGTTTGCGCCGAGATCATCCGTCTGGAGAAAGACGAGGGTCAAGAAGATTCCCGGGTCGACTACCTCATGGTATCTCAGGGGGGAATGCCTTTTCTTCCACGCAAAGGTATGCTCTGCACATTGCCGGCGGAGAAACACAAGCCCCCTCCTTCCCGTGGCCGCGCGAGTTGTGCTGACAATACCACAAAATTAAAAAAGATACGAAAGAGGGCATCGACGTGACTATGTCGCTCATGTACTATTCCCGTATGAGGATCATCACCAACTTACTGCCACTCCTCCTCAACTCCCGTCTCCCCGCCGCCACGGTGGTGTCGGTTTACGCCGCAGGGATGGAGGGGGACCTGGACTTGGACGATCTGTCCCTCCGCGACACGACACGGTACAAGTACACGCGGGCGCGATCGCACATGTGCTACATGCACACGCTGTTTATGGAGGAGCTGGCCCAGCGCCACCCGAGGAAACTGAGCCTGGTCCACATCTTCCCCGGCCTCGTCGTCGGCCCGGGCTTTCACAGCACAGAACTGCCCATGTGGTTCAGGATCCTGTTCCACTGGGTTGTTCTCCCCCTGTTTGGGCGCCTGTTGACCGTGCCTCCGGCCGAGTGTGGAGAGCGCATGTTGTCGCTCGCGTCGGACCTGTACCCGGCACACCCGGCTCAAGCTTCACCAACCGCCACCGACGCCGCCGATGGTGGTAGTTCTCAGACGACGACGACGACGACGACAGAGGGAGTCATCACAGGAACAGCAGGGACGCCAGGCAGTGGCGTGTATTCGCTCACCTGGAATGGCGAGAGCAATTTCAACGTCAAGGCATACCAGAAGATCAATAGGGAGGATGCGAGGATCAAGGTCTGGGAACATACCGTCAAGTGTTTCGAGGTTGTGGAAGCAGGAAAGGTCTTTACGGAGTGAGTACAGAGTGAGTGACTGGGAAAGGGAAAGATGGAGGGGGGAGGGTGGTAGTGGATGAAGAGACAGCAAACTTGAAACTGTGTATTGCAGGTCTAGGGATGCGTCTCTGTATCATAGTGTTGAGAAATAGGGAAGGGCTAGAGGAAGGTCTGGCTAGTGTCTGCTCAGCTACCATGGTAACAGACCTCTGCGTCCCAGAAATGGCCATGGCCTACAATGATAAAGACTTCATGCTCTATCTTTGAGCTCTGTCCATTCTTCCCTCAGGCCTACCTAGAGCTCTTCTCACTCCGCCAGGACCGCTACACTTGCAAGTGCGTGTGAAGGTAGCGTGGGGTTTGCATGCCCATGTTCACGGTTTCAGGTCGCAATAGACCTTTGTTGCTCTCTGTTTGAGGTCGCCGAAGGGCTTGATGGTCTTTTTGACACCGTCCTCGCCCTCGACCTCTTCCTCGTAGTCGTAGGTGTTGAATTCGCTGACGATTGTCCCCTTGAAGGGAGGAGGGGGCTGCGACCAGACTTTTGTGACGGCGTCGGCGAAGCATTCGATCTGGATGCCCCGGAAGCCTTGCTCAGCGGCATAGCGCATCAAGAACTGCGCGAGGGCCTTCATCAGTCCTTTGCCCTCGGCGTCGTGGCGAGTGCACGTCGCGTTGCGCATGAGAACCTGCTTCTCGCCCGTGGGCTGCCAGCTGGTCGGGTCGCGAGGGTCGCGGAGCTCGAGGACGTGGTAGAAGGTCCCGAAGAGGGGGAGACAGGCGACCAGAGGCCCGATCTGCTCCCCGTCCAGGGGGTGGAAGCCGTCGTACGCCAAGGCGATGCTGACGAGCGGGAAGTCCATCTGCTCCGCTAACTGGTCCGCGTCGAGTGTCGTGTCCTTGAGCTCCCAGTACAGTTTGCCCCCCGTGGGCTTGGACTCCTCCCGCCTGAACCGGTACTCGAGGTCGAAGACGCCGAAGCTGTGGCCCGACCCGATCTGGTGCCGCACCAGGTAGTCGGCCGCGTGGTAGCTACGGTACAGCCGCTCCGTCTTGGCTTCCGGGTAGCACACCGGCCACACGGGCGAGTAGAACAGGTTCGTGTGCACGACCAGTGCCTTGGCCCATTCGATGTGCTCGTCCGTCAGTCTTCGAATCTCATAGCGCGGTGGGAGGTTGGTTGGGTTGGTCGCGGTCGCGGCCGAGAGGTTCGTCATGTTGTGCTGAGAATCTAAAAGGCGGTTGAGGGTCTTTTACTTTGTCGATCGTGGAGCGGGGGAGGACTATGATATAGATGATGTTGAGCGAGAGAAGGGACACAGAGTGAGGCAGCTCAAGGAAACCCATAGCACACACACATACACCCACCTTCCTCATATATAGCCCGCTTCGCTTCATTACCGGCCATAGCCTCCCTCATCGAAGTGTCTGCACTCCACAAGCTGATTTGCCTCCTGGGGCGGTATTCTGACCAGGCTGTGGGGGGGGAGGCCTCGGCGCGTATCATGTCAGCAGGGATATAGAGCCCATAAACCGTACCAACTGCCTCTTTTGTCCTTCTTCCCGCCTTCAGGCTTCCCATGCTCGACGTGAAAAGGAAAGTGCAAAGCTTAGACTAAACAGAGGCTGGAGCCGGGATCCTGTTGCCAATATTCAGAGGGCGGAAATGCGTGGTGAATCCAGAGTAGTGGTGCGTCTCACTCTGCGTGTCTGCAGAACGCCACACGCACCCAATCGAGTAGTGAGTCGTTCACGTGCTTCGCAACCTCGTCGCGCTACGGTCGAGCATATTGAATATTGTTGTAGAGAACTGATAGGAATTTGCAGAAAGGAAAGTCAATTTGGCCCGTTGGTGCCTGTGTTACATCGCAGTCTGACACAAAGCGGTGAAAAGGGTCTGTCTTCATGTCAGCGTCCTGACCGTGAAAGCGTTTCAGGGAGACTTCCGAGTACAAGTCACAAGCCCTTCTTTACTCGTATGAAGTCTTGTGTTAGGCGAATCTGCACTAGCAAGACTAGGTAAGCAAGGCGCATGGGCTTGAGGGATCCAATCATCTCATCCTAGTCGTTCGGTCAATTGGCCGATATTGATATGGCCAAAGCCCACGGCCACCATGAAGAACAAGCGCGTGTCAGGCATCCATACGCCGTCTTCTTCACTGCATGAGGCTGTGCATCAATCACGGTGGTGATCATCCGGTCGCCGAGTCTTCACCAATGTCGGTAAAGGTCTACAGTGGCGAGGGTGATTCGTAATGGTCTCGCGATATACAGGCACATGTGGACAGTATGAGGACGTTTGTGAGTAGCGGATGGCCAAGTACTTGCCTTGGCGGGTGAGATGTGTTCCCTTTTGCGGCAGAGGGAAGATATCAGGAAGTTTAATAAGACGAAGACGAGACAGAGATATAGTGATTAGGACACAGCGAAGAACCAAGGTTTCTTCACATGTCTACTCGGTGTGTTGAGACAATTGATTCCTCTGGTGCGAAATACTCCTCCGTACATCTGTCCGATAAACAACGCTCGACCGTAGCTGCTCCACCGATAACGATGAGGTGCAGGGAAACTTTGGGACCAGCTGCTGGGTGGCTGCAACTTTCTTCTTTCGTCTTGACGTCGTCGGCCTCCTCCGGCCGACTTGGAACTCAGTGTCAAAATATTTATTCATCTCTTTGCACCACTGAGACTCTGCAGCGCAACATACTGTACAATCCCACACTCAGTGCTACACAATGACCTCTCCGATCACTTGCCATGTCCTCAACACGCTGTCTGGGACGCCTGCGGCTGGCCTCAAAGCCATATTGACCCTGCTGTCGTCTAACAATAACACATCTTCCCAACCTGCAGTGAGCTTCGCTGCCGTTACAAATGAAGACGGACGCGTCAAAGAGTGGGAGAAATCTGCCGGCAGGAGTGTGTCGGATGTTCTGGAGGGGTACAGCCACGGAGAGCGAATCGCTTGGAGTATCAAGTTCGAGGTCGGTCCATGGTATGAAGAGAAGGGCGTCGAGAGCTTTTGGCCCGAGGTCGAAGTCAAATTCTATGTTAAAAAGGGCGAGCGGCATTACCATGTGCCCGTATTGGTCGGTCCGTGGACCTATACAACCTACAGAGGATCTTGAGGTGCATCTCTCGACGCAAGGTGCTGTGTTTTGTCGCACCGCTAAACAGCCTCCACCACAACCCCGGTTTTCTTACTTGACTCACAGCAATCGCCAATGCTGCGTACCCCTGAGAATCGAACGCTCCACACTGGGTTCTGCAGCGCCAAATGAACCGAGGGCATTTGGCATTTCTGCGACGCAAGTGCTAAACACCTAGAGTTGCCACGAATCCCTAGTTCCACCATACCCGCATATACATACAAAGCTTCCCAAAAGGCTAAGCGACCTGCAAGTCTCTGACGAATCCGATTTCCGTTCCTCCATGCTCGAAAATCTGCAACCTGCCATGTCCCCAATCCTCATCTAGAGTGCTTCGTTCGTCCAGGCACGCACCACAGCAGCTTCGCAATGCATGACTTGGAACCTCTGACTGGACCAATGTGTGGTCCTCGTGACATCCGGCAGACCAGCCGACCAGCAGCGGGCCTCTCGGCTTTTCCTTGGGGAGCCGAACATGTTGGGTGACTTAAGAGGTCATGTGGACTTTTCTGATGAAGAACTTTTTGCAGCAAGATGCTGTTCCCGCCCATTGTGACGAATGGTCACCGAGGACGCTTGTAATGGGACGCAGACGCATGTGCGAGGTTGTGCCTCCGACTCGAATTGATGGTGACAATTTCGTTGATGTCGCAGTCCTCGTCCTCGGTACCACTGCTGACCCTGTTGGACATGCGCATTGTTTGTTGCCTTTCATATTGTTCCGACTGTCGTTTGAGGTCTTCTATTTGCTCCTGGGACCTGCTGTAAGCTTCTTGTACCCCGTGAAGGTGGCGACCCAGCTCACCTTGGTCAGCTCGGGACCATTGATGAGGAATCCTTCTCGGCCCTAGGCTCCCGTCAGCTTGTGACCTGTCACGGGTGGAAGAGGTCCTCATACACGATATGAATATGGCCTCACGGTGGCAGAGGGTCCGAGGAAGTACTGCAACTGTCGAAGAACAATATGTCGAGACAGGCCATAGCCTGATATCCAGTAATCTCTGGGTGGACTTGTTGGTTGAGGCATTTGGGTTATGAGGAGAGGGTTGTTGGAGTGGTGTCAACCTGACACAAACGTATAGATATGGGACGACCGGAGCTGGTAAAAGCTGTGAGCTCGATACTTAGGCCACCTGACCTACGGAGATTGAGATTGTGAAGTTGCTGCCATGATAGAGACCAGAATACAGTCGATGGTGAGAGCCTCGAAGGAGATATAAGGCTTCGGAAGAGAGGGGGTCGGGGCAGAGTCGCCGCGGCCAATGACCTCTGTGTAGTGATACGGCAGAGGAGATTGGTTCTCCGAGCGTCTTGATGCTTAGAGTCAGAGTTCCAATCCAACTTGTCCTGCAACCCTTCGACTAATGGTTGCCTTGCAATGGCTGAAGTCTTCCACGCCCTGGTGTCAGTGAGCCAATCAGCGCAGGCAAAGTCAGCCGCCAGCCAATCACAGCCGCCGCCTCCCCTTCGCACCTTGACAGCCGTTCGCCTCACTTTGACCTTTATCGACTCACCATTTTCCTCGCTCCGTCAAGTCCATTCCTCCATCCTCTCCCAGATCACGCTATCCAGGCGCCCGTCCAACCCTAATCCGTGCCTGTTGAGGCTGCAGAAACACGCCAATTCCTGCACACGTGTCCCTGGGGCACCGTAGTCGGGGCTTCGTCTGCAGAGGTGGCAGACAAAACTGAAGGAATTTGCCAGTGGCACGATATCCGATCGACACTTCTCCTTCCTCTTCATGTCCCTCCATATGGCCCAAGTGCCAGAAAATATGCGCCATTCATCTCATACCTACACACGGAAAGATCTGAAGAAAACGATCAGCAATGCACGGAATAACACTCTATCCACACTTGAGCAACTGGCGGGGACGGGGTTGGCGACCCTGCATCTAGCAGCTCAGCACCAGCCCATCGGCCCACGAAGCCCACAATGCCCCCAATGCCCACGGAACCTGAGGCCTCGGCGTCGGCGTCTTCCCTTTTGCACTGGCTCAGCCATTCCACAGGCAATAGTCTCATTGCAACTTCTGCACTATGCAATGTGCTATGCGGGACTACCTAATGCAAGCAAAGCTGCTTCTCACCGCTCAATTCTCTCGGTCCCCAAGGGCAAAAAGCGCCCACCGAATCCAGAGTCGATACACCTTTGCACACGTGGAATCCGGTTCTGGCTTGGTCCACCCTTTTCCTAGAGTTGTCTGGACACTGTGGCGGAGTCCAGGTTCTCGTACCACCTTTGTTTCCACAAATTACTCTGACCGGTGCCCGTCAGGCCCAATGGCCCTGGAGACTTTTCAGAAAATGCACTGTTTCTCGAACCTCTCACAAACCGCCGAAGCTTTACAAAATGCATCCTTTAATCCAAGTGGATTCTTATTCCTGCAGGCTTTGTTAACACCACTCATTCCGCTCAACGTTGAGGCCAGCTAAGCGTGATTGGTAGCATTTTTGAGCCCTGGACTGTCCTCAACTGGGCCCTGAAGGTCTCGCTCCCAGAAAGCTCCGTGCTGATTCTCCTCTTCGGTCAAAACACCATTTTCCAGCTCAAACCGTATGTACACGTACTGAGGAACGACAAAGTCGATGAAGCTAGTCCAATCAACAAGAGATACAACTCAAAAACCTGTTCACCGGGAAACAGGTGTGACAAGTACGTCATCCTGGCGCGCCACCAACTTGCCTGTGGCCTGAAACTCGGTACATGGGGTCCTTGTGCCCAAGTAATCGCATCTGAGGTGCGGGGTGCCCAATCCTGTTTCCAGGAAGCACCCCCTGAAGCGACTTGACCACCTTCGAGGCCCAAAGATCACCCAGGAATGCCTGAAGACCGACCCAATCAGAGGCTGCAAGGCTCCCCTTTTGGCTGATCCGTGCCCGATTGAGAACAAAGTGTGTTCCAAGAACTTCTGGTGTGGGACCGAATTTGGCTTCAAGAAAGAGACCAGATATCGCACTTCTTTGACCTAAGTAATTGCTGGAAGTCACATCAAACTTCGTAGAGAGGTTGATCATGCCCTCGAACAACTTCACACTTCGACTGCCCGACGATCGCTGTCCGTCCCAAAGCCAACGGCGCTTGTGCAGTCTGGTTTCGGCAGGTTCGCAAACATCTGGCTATTTTGGTGATCACTTCCACAATCATAACCGACACCGCGATTCTGGAAATATCTGTGACAATCTGCGTGACATGCTGCACCACGAGGAGCGTATCTACCCGCTCTTACCCGCACCTCGCATCTCCGGGGTCTTCCTTACGGACAAATTGCCGACGACATAGTAACATTCCGGCCCAAGCCAGCTTCGGGTGGTCTGGGTTCTGCCTCCTTAAATATCAGCCTGACTAGTCCCTGTCACAATGCCTCACTCTCTCCTGATCGTCCTCTGATCGACCACTGTTGCATGAACTGTCTGGGCTCTCTGTCAGTTTCTCCTAGAAGGAGCTCTCCTGTCCACTATGACCTCGGCGCTTGTGGCGGAGCTAGGGCCATTGAACGGGCACGAACGCGTCTGCTGGATGTCGACGTCAGCCCCCCCCTTTCCAAGGTCTGAGGCAGGTAACAGCTTATCCGACGGCTGAAAGCCTTTGAGCCACGATCTCCTAGCTTATCAATCAAACTGAGTGATTAAAGCGAACTCCCTCTGGACAGTCTAGTCACAGGCACGGTGTCTTGAGGAGCAACGTGCTAGGGCTTTGCGATGCCTGTAGCCATCGAGAGAAGAGAGGCGATGGCTGCCCACAATGCTTGGATCTCGAGGCGATTGGTCTGTATGCTTGAACCCAATCCGTCCCGAAAACGACATGCTTGGGGGAGGTCGATCTCTGGTGTCTTTCTATGGATGGTTGGCCCCGTCGGCACGAAATTAACCGCTACGAGGGCAGTGCACCAATGCCAATGGACTCTCTGGCATCCTGTTGGCCCCTTTGCCCACTGGCCTCTGTTGACCTCCTCTCCCCTCCGACACTGTGCTGGATGTGCCACCATGTCAAAAGGAGTTTACCACTGATTGAAGTTGCAAGCTGTGCCAGGACTGAGCACGGACTCTGCGGTCCTACGACTGGGCTAATTTTGTGACTCCCAGCCTCACTCTGTTATTTGCTCACAAATATCCTTTGGCTCTACCAAGGTGGAGCAGCGTTCTGCCAATCCGAAGAGAGGGACTCTTACGCCTCTCCTGCATTGAACATGTCAAAGCACCGATTTACACACCAAGAAAGCCTCACTTTGACCGTGGTAGCCTCAATTTCCACGTGTGCCCTTGCATGGGCTTTCACGCTGACCTGATAAACTCAGTTTCACCCAAACATGGCACAAGGGCACGGAAGAACGGGAAAGGAGGTGCTGGGACTGTTGTGGCAAGCATGCCCACAGCAGACCTTTCGCAAATAGGGCACGGATGAGACGTCCAAGGCGCGACAGAGTCACGGCGGCATTAAACGGAAGCTATCGCATAACAGCTGCTTCGGATGGCGTTGATACCGGCCCTGAAGGTTTCCGCCACACTCTTTCCCGGAAATCCAGGTTTTTGATATGCGTGTTACTTCCATCGCCCGAACGACATGTCACCGCTCACGCTTGTGCAATTCCGTTGTCATCAACGAATTCTTGTTTCAAGCGGTAGTCAATCGGACTCGACCGGGGACAATTTGCAATTTCTCTATAGCTTTGACATTCGCAGTATTTTACACTGCGTGTATCTGCTGAGTCTACCTTGTCGACATCAACATTGCTGCCTACAGCCCTGCTCCCTTGCAGATCACGTATGCTGGTTGACACCGCGAAGAGGTCAGAAATGACCTAGCTGTCTAGGTGCGGAGAGACCAAACCCTCGGCTCAAGCTGCACCCAGCGGTCCCATCATTTCGACTACTCGTGAAGCTCACACAGTACCATCGCGACTCGCAATCTCATCTGCTCCAAAGATCTTTCTCTATTCTTCTGATGCTCTTGTTACTGGGGCACGAAATGCTGCCATC